GGGTGTACGTTTCTGAATGGCTTGATTTGATCGCTAAACGCGGAAGAAGAAAAAAGGAACGTGGAAAGAACTCCTCCTCCAAGTGCGAAGAATTGCGTATTTTCTTTCTGCAATCGGAAAGAGAATATTTCTTACGCACCAAGGGAGAGATGTACTGACAAGGTAATCGATGCGAAAGTATTTGCAGGCCAATTTCTAAGCACCAACTGCACTGAGGGAGGCCACCACACCCCTCATGCTCTGTGCTTGTGTTTGCAAACTTTCCATGTCCTTTTTTTTGCGGGCGGAGTCCCAACAGGCAAGCCACTGTAGTAGGGTAGTAAAAGCGTTTAGGGTTTAGGGTTTAGCATTCGGGGTCTGCAGCGCTTAGGGTTTAGGGTTTAGCATTCGGGGTCTGCAGCGCTTAGGGTTTAGGGGGGGCGATAAAAGAGATCTTGAGCGGTAAGCTACCTCAGGTACGTTCGTCAATGCCTGCACCTGTTCTATTATTACAGTAGTATTAGGAGCACACATACATGTATATAGTATTTATAGTTATCCGTAAGGCCAAGAGAAAAGGCAGATATGGTGATAGATATCGTGGCAAAGGCCAAGAGAAAAGGCAGATATGGTGATAGATATCGTGGCAAAAGCCAGAGAAAAGGCAGATATGGTGATAGATATCGTGGCAAAGGCCAGTGAAAAGGCAGTTATGGTGATAGATATCGTGGGTAAGATTCCGGTGAGGTAGAATTAGTGAAAGATGCGATGGCTATATCGTCGGCAATCGGAGGGGGGCAAGCAATTTCAAAGGCTGAGCAGGAGGAGAAGGACGGGCGATCTAAAGAGGCAGATCAGGAGGAGAAGAATCAGGAGAAAGAAGACGACGACCTAGATGATGCCCATGGATACTACGACGATGATGACTTCGAAGATTACGATACGGATTTCGAGACCGATGAGGAAACCGCTGATAGTAGCAGTGAATGGAGGCATGATTGTCAATTGCTGCCGTCGATTGATGAGAATCCGACCGATGGACGAAGCGCCGGGGATGAGTCAGGAGGAGGAGGAGAGGGGATTCCCGGGGCCGGGAGCCACGCTGGATATGAGGCATCATGGGCTCGTTTATCTGCCGGAGGCGGTGGTGGGTATCGCAAGAAGATTCTTGGCGCCTGCGTGGTCGATTCGCTGTCCGTTGCAGCACGTGCAGCCTTGCGTAGTGTCACAGCGGAGGCGCTAAGGCAGAAGGAGAAGGATGATCCCGATCATCATCAGTATCAAGATCAGCAGCGGCATGATCCGACGGTGGCGGTGGTGTCTCGAGGAGGAGGAGGAGGAGGAGGAGGAGGTAAGTCGAGACTGCGAAGGATCTTGGCCGTCGTCAAGCTAGAGGAGGTGGGGGGGGAGTTGTTCGATCTCCCACCCCTCTCCTTACACGCCCTATACGAGCTGGGACGTGGGCCAGCTCTTCTACGCCACGTGGCCGCCACTCAGACAGGAGATGATGCTGACGCGGCATCCGTGCAGACCGAGGATATCAGCTATGGACACGTGGCGGTTCAATGCCCGGACGATCTCGCTCGATCGACGGCTGAGGAGCAGGCGGGGGCCATGGCCGTCGACTGTCGGGGGGTGGGTGATGACGAATACGAAGCGGAAGAGGAGGAGGAGGAAATGGGGGAGGGGGAGGAGGAGGAGGTGGAGGAGGAGGAGGAGGAGGAGGAGGAAGGGGATGGCGATGGAACCGAGGGGGGGCAATCGCCAAGCACGGTGGGTTGGGGAGATGGAGAAAGAAGAAGAAGAAAGGGAGGAAGAAGAAAGAGGAGGAGGCGGAGAAGAAGAAAAGGTTATGGCAGGGAAAACGACGTAGAGGACGAGGAACATGACACGGTGATGTCACTGAAGGAGGAAGGGCGACAGATAGCAATTCTTGAGAGAGAGAGGGACTACAAATCGCGGCTTAAAGTCTTCCTGGAAAAGGTCGAGCTGACGTGGAGTACCATGCTGACTAAGGACAAGAGGAAAGAAGGAGGGGAAGGAGCAGCAGGAAGACGACGGCCACCTCCATCCTTACTTACAACATCGGGCAGAGGGATAAACGACAAGCAAAGGGAGATGGAAGTCTCTTCTTGTCTGAACTGCACAGCTTGCGTAGACCTATGGTGGGAACCATTGCTTCTTGGTCGGAGATTGATGACCGTCACTCTGCTGGACACTAGATGGTGCCAGGTGGCGTGTGCGTATAGTCCTCCGGAAAAGGGAGTGGAGGAGGGATCTCCACCCCCACCACCACCACCTCCTCCGCCTCACACTTCTCCTCCTTTTCCTCCTCCTCCTCCTCCTTCTCTTCCCTCCCAGCCGCAGAGTCTTAGTAATCAAGGATGCATCTTAATGTGGGATCTCTGGGCCGTTGGAGCACCCCAAAGGGTGCTGATATGCCACGGGACCCCGACGTGCTGTCTGTTCGTCGACTGTGTCGAGATCGAGACCGACAATCGCAGGCGTGAGGTTCTCATAGCCGGCACATGTAGAGGAACGCTCTGTCTATGGGACTTATCCTCTGATCCTAAAGCGGACACCATAGCCGGCGGAGGTGTCATGATGTTCGACCCAGAGTTAAAGATCGCATGTGAGCGGCCCACCTACATTACAGACGCCGACACCGAAGGTAATCACGTCGGCCCTGTTTTGTCCGTCCGATTGATCCGATCAGGCAACCAGGACGATCGGTCGACGGGTTCCCAGGGCGACGTGGCGCTAGGGGGAGGCGGCGGAGGAGGGGGAGGAGGACTGATCAGCCGTGGGCAGATCCGACAGCCAGGATCTTCTCGGCTGGCAAGCCTGGACGGCTCAGGTGTTGTCCATATCTGGATGCTTGTCGGGATCCCTCGCGGTTACCACGACGTGGCTGTCGGTGTAGGCGACGCTGATATGGGATTGAGAATTGGCGGGAAAGTGCGCATCACGCACTCGGCGTCGTTGAATCTTGCTGAGTGGATGAGACCTACCCCACCAGCTGTGCTGCATCAGGCGAGGAGGGGCCAGCAGCACCATCTCTCGCAGGTGAAGAAACAGGGGGAGGGAAAGGACGCGGAGGAGGAGGAGGAGGAGGAGGAGAGGCAAAATCGACGAACCACGTGCCTCGCAGTGTTGCAGGCCTCCACTGGCACCGATTTCCTTCTTGGAGACGATCGAGGCCGTTGCTGGCGCATCAACAGCATGAAGACACATGGCACTAAGCGGATATCCTCCCTTGCTCCTCGGTATTACGCGGAACCCGATCCCGACAGAACTGGAGCAAACGTTGTCACTTCTATGTCTCTATCGTCGCACTCAGATCAGCTCCTCGCTGTTGGATACGGCAATGGACAGTGCGCTGTCTTCTCCGTCGACTCGTCTGCCCCCTTGATTGCCTGGGAAAATGCTTGCGTCGGACCCGTCATAGCCGTCAGATGGTCACCGGTGAAACCATCGACTCTCTTTGTCGTGGATGGCGCGCTGTCTGTGCTTCACGTTTGGGATTTGATGGCCGCTGACCTCTCGTCTCCCGTGGCGTCCGTGAGCTTGACACGTGTCGCAGGTCAGGCCGATGCTGCAGCCGCAGACGTCCAATGTACACTTAACAACAAGGGGGTGCAAACTGGCGGGAAAGAAGACAACAGGAAAGGAAAGGGCGGGAGATTCGATCTCAGCGGACGGCCGGAACCAGCGGCGGCGGCGGCGGCGGCAGCGCGTGTGTTTTCTTTCTACGTGTCGAGTCCACGCCGACGTCATCACGCAGCTGAACACAATGTCACTCATGAGGATCGCTACGGCGAGTACGGGGGTGATGAGCACGACCATGAGGGAGGAGAGGGTCGTGCTGATGGAGGTGATCGGGATGTAGGCGGACGTCATCAAAAAGGTGGAGGGCGCATTGGCCGCGAGTTTCACGGCGCTAGTCCCGCCAGTTTAGCTGCAAGCGATCCGAGTGGCGGCGATGGCGGGAAGGACTCCCAGTCGCATCGCCTTGCTCAATGTGGGCGATCGGATTTGGCGGGAAATCGGCAAACAGATGAGGAGGAAGATTCTTGGGCAGGTCGTCTCGCCGCCGTTGGCTATTTCGATGGCCATGTGTCAGTGCATCTGCTCTCTAACCCACCCACCCCCCTCACCACCCCCCCAGTACAGGTGTCATCGGACTTGACTCTCAAGCAAGCATTACGGATGCGAAGAACTGTACAATCCGGGACTCACTAGTAATTAAGACCATTCAGTACCTACCTTCTTCCCCCGAATACAACGTCCTGTCATTTTAACTGTATATATAGACGGAAAGATACCCCCAAAATACAGCTATAGTGCCTACCTTCTTCCCCCGAATACAACGTCCTGTCATTTTAACTGTATATATAGACGGAAAGATACCCCCAAAATACAGCTATA